TCTCCCCAGGTATTGAGCAAGGTCCTCCTGGTTTCCAGCTTCCGAACAGCTCTCGTGACCCCAGTCAACTAGACCTCTGAGTCTTTGGGCATAGTCTGTATTCTCATGTTCTCCAAGTCCTTGTTCAGCAGCTGCTCCTCCGCTGACTCTGGACATTTCTGGTTCTCAACAGCACGGGCAAGAGCGACCTGTTGTGTGGCATGTATTCCCAGGGGTTATTCCATGTCGGAATAATTCACACACATCCATGGATGGGCGTCCACAGCCAGCGCATGGTGGGCAAATTGTGTCATTGCTTCTCTGTGCCATGATAGTTCTCAACCAGCGATAGTGGCTAGTTTGGGGGCTGGTGGTGCCAGCACACACCACCATGCAGCTTCCTGGGCACAGGTGGCCCACCTCCCAGGTGCCTGTGTGGCTAGGGGCTGGCCCAAACTTTCATACTTTTTAAAAGTGAGATGAATAGAACAAAAGACAATACTCAGGTCTGATGTTCCCATGGTAGAATAAAGCTGGAGTGACACATCCTTTGAATTAAAGGTTTCTTTTTCCTTGAAACCTATGTCCTTATTCAACTTTCTGTCCATTAATTTGTGTTGGCTTTCTTTAGTGTAAAGTATGTCTTTAGATTTTTGGAGTGATCCTTTTGGGTGTCCTGTGTTTGTTTTTATATCATGTGGTTAGTGTTCTTTTCCTGCATGAGTGGGATAAATCCCACTGTTACTTTTTTGATTGCCACTGGGGGACATTTTAGAGCTAAAATATTATATTGGTAATATTTTTAGGATACTTTTATACTCATAGGGGAGATTATATTTTTATCTTACTGTACTGTTTTTGTTAGAACTTATATGAGTGTTATTCTGACTCCTTAAAAAGAATTTGGAAACTTTCTTTCTTTATGGTATAAAACAGTTGAAATAGCATTGGGGGAAAAATTAAGCTGTCTAACTGCAAAATGGCAGCCTGGGCTAGATCCTGGAAGAGAAAAGAAATATTAAGGGAACAACCAGTAAAATTTAAATATAATATACCAGTGGTGGTGAACCTATGACACCCATGCTGCAACTGTTATCAGTGAAAGCTCAAAAAAGTTTACCATCTCTGCTATATATATATTTTCTTAAAACTACCCATGTCATCAAGGTTTTCAAGTACATTTGTGTAATATTAAACAATATCATCTTTTATCATTCTTTTTGTTTGCTCTGTGTCCATGTTTACTTCCCAATATCATATACACATATATAATATATATGTATATATATATATATATTTTTTTATGATAGGAATTGAACTCAGGACCCTGTGCTTGCCGGGCAGGCACTGTACTGCTGAGCTATATTCCTGGCCCTCCCAATGTTATATTTTATATGGTTATTTATTGGGTTATGAAATTAATATTTTAAGTTGAGACCAATTTTTAAAAGTGAAACAGACTAGAAAATATCAATATATATTGATTCATGAAATATTAATCTTAAGCACACATACATACAATTTTTCTTGGTGAGCTGACAATATCAATCAAAGCATAAATGCATGTAACTTTTGATCTAGCAGTTTAGTACTTGGGAACCTATCCAGGTACATATAGCATATATGCAGAAATAGTATATGTACAACATAACTCATTATAATATTATTTATAATAGCAAAATATTGGCAATAATCCAAATGTCTATTAATGGAGGGGTTATTCTTTAAGTTACAGTACATTCATACAATGAAATACTCAGTAGTTGTCAGAAAGAATAATGAATGATGAAGATATCAAGGACACACATTCCAATGGGGAAAAAAAGCATGGTGAAGGACAGCGTGTATGGTGTACTACCCTTTGTGTTAAGAAAATATAAATTCTATATTTGTACAGTATTTATATAGGCACAACAAAAAAAATCCTGGAAAGATCATCAGAATGAGAGAACAGTATGAGCATGGGAACTAGGTGGATGGGGGCAAGTCAAGAGAGAAGGGAAACATTTTACTATACAATTTTATGGTGGTAAGAACTTTTAAACATTAGACCTACCCTCTTCACAAATTTTCAGAGTGCACAACACAGTAACTATCTTTTTTCTGAGCTGCTGTTGAATTATACAAGTGAATTACCTATTCAAAAATTAAATATAAAACTTTAAGCAAAAGAAGCAGCACTCAGAAGAATATGCCCAATCATGTGACGAGGAATGCTTCCATACCTGTGGCTTCTGATGCAGGCCAACTGAACTGTGTTGTCCAGGGATGCACACAGTGTTGGAGGGGACAGGCAGTGTGCAGTTCCCTCTACAGTAAGGTGTATTTCTTCTTGAGGGTCTCAGTCACAAAGTTTGAGCAGCCTTATGTGTTGTAGTCTCTCTTGCTAAAACAAGCCACTCTGTTTACCATTAGACTGGACTCTTCAGGGGAAAGGTTGCTAAAGTGTTTATTTTGTGGACATCCATCTTTATGTGGATTTCAGATAGAAAGAGTACACTAATTATTTTCTCAGTGTGTCTTCACATGGGCAAACACAAAAAGTACCAGAATTTGACACTTTTTGACAGAATTCTCTCTACAGTGTTTTGATTAGCTCCTTAAAGAGCACTCTTCTTCCTTTCAGGTAAATGGAAGATTCGCTGGAGGCCAGTGTATTCCAAACTCGGAAAGCACACAGAATAGAACAAATGGTGGCAAGATGGCTTCGGCGCACACGGGACAGCTCTGCCCGGTAAGGCTCCCGGGGAAGCAGAGATTTCTCTCTGTCCTGGCTTGGTGTCCTGTGGGAGGGGCTTGTGCCAGCCCTGACAGCACCTGGGGATTGCTGTCGCTGCCTGGCTGGCTGGCTGGCTTTGCTCTTTACCATATGTGGCAGAAGGATTAACAGTTCAGCAGTGTGGCTGGGGTCCCTTTCTTTGTACTTGACTCCTAACATGCACCCCCTTACACACAGTCACACTCACCCCAAGCTCACATACACATTCACAGAATGAGACATGCATACAATCTGACTTACTCGCATGAATGTACTCATATATATTTGTACATGTGCACGCGCGTGCACACACACATCTTTTCTTAGTACTTGATAGAGTCAAGCAGTCTGTTGTTTATGTTCTTTCTTGTCTTTGTTTCCAACAGCTGTTCCTTCCTTGTAGTGTCTATTTCGTCCTAAAAAAAAAATAAAATGAAATCAAATACAGATCTGATTTGACTGCTACAAGAGAACTTTAAAATATGCTCTATTTCAAAGTCTTCATTTTCCCTCTCAGATTTCCCATCTGGCCCTGTCACAGAGATGAAATATCATGTGTCAGGTGTTTCTGAGACACACATTCTTCCAAAGGAACTGGAAACAGCTGTTCCGCTGCCAAGTAATAAACTTTGCTCAGGGTTGTGCTGCCCATTCGCCAGCTTCTCTGATCCTCACACACGGAGGTGAGATAAGGCTGGTAGAATTAGCCCATTTTATGAATGAAACATCTGCAACCCAGAGAGTGACTTGGTTAAGTCTGCTCCTGCCCCTACTCAGAAACTTTAATGGGCCCTTGTTTCTTACAGAATAAAGCTTAAACATCATCTTACAAAATGAAGTTTGACATTTCAAAGTTCTGCATGATTGACAATCTTTTAAGCTATTTGTCTTACTACTCTGGTTCATTCATATCATTCTCGTTCATATTATGCTTCATTCATGTAATGCTAAAGTGAACTACTACAACCACATACTATACTCACCCCATTTTCCCTTTACCTTAGATCTGAGCTCCTGTGCCAGATCCCTTTCTCAGTATGTGTGCATGTGTCCAAAATCTGCCCACAGGCCTAACTGAAGTTCTGGGTCTTCCATATAGTGTTACTCAGTTCATAATCAGAATGAATCTCTCCCGTGGGATCCCATGGTGTTTGAATCAGCACTGTGCTCCTTCTGGAATACTCAGTGTCTTGGTTACTTTTCTCTTATTGCTGAGACAAAACACCCAATGCCCAAAATGAAGGAAGGAAAGGTTTATTTAGCTTACAGTTTGTGGAGGTTTCAGTCCCTACTTGGCTGGATCTGGGGCAGAGTGGCACATGGCAGAGGGCAAACGTTCATGGCGGCCAAACACAGCAAAGCAACAAGAGCAAAAGGGGGAATGGCAGCCGAACAGCAATGCAGCTAGAGCAAAAGGGAGGAATGGCGTCAAGAAGCTTCTTTCCCTGCCTTACATTGTAAACAGGCTACCCCCACCTAAGGGGCGTGTAGCTCTCACATAATCTCCATGCCCTCCTCTTCCAGGGGCTCAGGATGTATACAAAGTAAGCACCCTGGCTTCCTGCTGAGTCACTTAGCCAAACCTCTAGACTCCCCAAGTTGACACAATGTATCAACCATAACACTCAACATATCTAAGCACCTTCCTTTTCTTCCTTCTGGACCAGTCTTCTGTGAGAAGTATCAGCTTCATCTGTAGCCCAAAAGTAACTGAGTGCAGGAATATTGCAGGTGATCGGGTTGTGATCCATGAATGAATGGGAAAACTAAGTAGCATGCTTCCCAAACTAAGTTCTGCAAAACCAAGTCCTATGTGGTGCTGCTCCACTAAAAAGAGGTTCTGTGGCCAGATGTTTGGAAATGATTCAACCTATATCCCACCCACCTTGTTGATGTGTTACGTACATTATGGACATAATACAAATTAAAGGCTCTGAGAAGTCCTGCAGAAAAGAGACCTCAGGGCTGGGAATATAGTTCAGTGGCACAAGCACCTGCCTGGCAAGCACAAGGTCCTGAGTTCAATTCCTGGTACCAAAAAACAAACAACAACAACAACAACAAAATATGGGGCCAGGGGTATAGCTCAGTGGCACAAGTGCCTTCCTGGCAAGTGCAAGGTCCTGAGTTCGATTCCCAGAACCAAAAAACAAAAAAAAGAAAGAAAAGAAAGAAAAGAAAAGAGCTCTCTAAGACCTATAAGAGACATATAAACTCAAATTATAAACATTTGAGTTTTTATATAAATGTTTGCCTTGTTAAAACATTTTTACTATTATGAATAACGCTTCTATGAACATTTGTGTTTTCAGTTCTCTTGGATTTATATTTACAACTGGAATAGGTGATCATATGTGAACTCTGTGTTTAGTCTTTGGAGAAATTGCCAGACTGGCTTGTAACATAGCTGTGCCACTTTATATTTCTACCATCAGTATGTGAAGATGCCAATGCCTGACATTTATATCAACTCTTGCTATTATCTGTGGGTTTTTTTATTTTAACCATACTGGTTGATATGTAGTAGCAACTAGTGGTTTTGAGCTGCATTTCCTTGATGGGTAATGACATTAAACATGTGTTTCCGTGTGTCTAGGGAGTTTTATTTTCTAGGTGCTTGAGAAAGAGAAGAAAAAGAGAGAAAGTGACTTATCAGTGTCTATGGAAGACACTGCGTTTCTAGGACAAGTCACATGTATCCTTGTTTGTTTCTCATCTCCAATCCTGCCATCTTGATATTGGCTGGGTTCTTGGTGTCCTCAGATTACTTTAAAATATCAAGTATTAAAAAATAAAATGATCAAGTATTGAAAATGCTAAGTTTGGGGTACATTTCCCAGGAGTAGGGGAAATGGTCCCACCTGCCACTCAGTTGCTTAATCAACAAACCTGAGATTCATCTTGAATTCCTGTGTTCAGCCCATCAGCAACTCTAGTTAGTTTGCCTTCAGACATACTAAGATCTATCTTCCTCTCTCCCTGAGAACATGGCTATGATCATTTCCTCTTTTCCTATCCTAGATAATTCAACCTGAAGCTCTGTGGACTTTTCAGAATATGAAAGGCTCCATCCCTTGGTATAGCCCCTGACTCCACCTCACCTCAGCCCACCTCAAACCATGCGATGACTCACCTACCATTGTGCCACAGCCTGAAGTCTCTTCCCGATCTGGTCCCAGCCCAACTTACCAACCTTACCTTATTCCTCTTGCTTCCTTGATCACCATTCTCCATTACTGGACTTCCTTTACATTTCTGCAGCTACTCAAGCTCTTTCCTGTCTCAGGGACTTTATACTTGTGTTCAGCTGGCTACAAAGTTCTTTTTCCTCATTTAATGGCAGCTCCTTGTTCTTCAGGTTAAATTTAAATGTCACCTTCTTCAAGGGGCCTTTCCTGAGCATCTGAGGCACAGTAGACTCATCCCCCGACAATTATTTCTTCCAGAGTATTTACCCACTCATTGTACTTTATAATAATGTAGACACTTATTTACTTGTTCGTTGTTACCTCCCTTCCCTGCCACCCTGTAATATGTGAGGCCAGGGGCCATGACTGTCTTGTTTTACAAAGAATCCTCAGCATGGCGGACTGCATACTATGTAATAGATGTTTGATAAATTTTTATTAATAAAAGACTTTCATAGTAAGGGGCTATATTATTTATTTAAATATATTTAAATTTTTTATCTCTCTTCTAAGAAGAATTTTTGAAGGCTGATAGTTTTAAAACATGTAGAAAAATTTAAATAGGGAATAGAAATGTCATAAACAGATTATAAACCAATTAGACTTAAGATTTGATGTTTGAATAGTAGCACTAGCTCTGACTTTGCTGGTGGCTGGGCCAGCAATGATGGAATTACATTGAACTGTTTTTGGTGCTCTAGAAAAAAGAAAAGACAGTCATATGCAGTCATATCATTATACACGCACAGTCTGTTATTTTTTTTCCAGACTTTAAAAAAGCATCCAGTCATTTCAGCCTGTACTCATTTTACTTGTAATTGGCATGTTTCCGTAGAATTTAAACATTATTTCTGACAAATTGCCTAGGGGTAAATTAGCCAAAAGGAACTTTTCCCATTTTCAAACATTATTAAACAAGTTGATAAATTTTATGCACCCAAGATAATGTTAGAGAATTATAAAACATCTCAGATGGGTGTTTTATTTGAGGGAAGGCAGGGAGTTGTCAACTCACAAAGCTGCTTTTGTTTCTTAAATTTTAAGTTAATTTCCAACAGTTGTTGTTGTTATGGTCATTAGTCAAATTCAAACGATGGTACTGGGTTTGAATGGGTGTCTGTACCTGGGTAGGTATGAGCCTAGTGATACTTACAGGAACGGAAAATTATTCCACTCAGCTGAACTGTGACCACATGATTTCGTATTTCAGTATGAAAATAACATTTACTATATCTGTTCCTTTAGATATAGTTAATCCCTCCAATGGCTTTAGTAATGTGTTTTAAATTTTTATATAAATAAACAAAGTAAAGCAAAGCTGAGACTGTAACTCAGTGGTACAGCTAGAGCATATGCTTAACATGTGTAAGCCCCTGGGTTTGATCTCCCGCACTGCAAACAAATAACAGTAATAACACGCCAATACAAACCAAGCTGCATATAGTGAGATTAAAAACCAAGTAAAATTGGCATATAGTGAGATTACATCACTAATTAATGTTAATAATTTTGCTTTCAATTACATTATTTTATTTATAGTTTTATATGACTGTGGGAATGACTGGACTTGTAGCATACCTTTCCACTTGATCGTGTCAATTATTTTCCCATGAAAGTTTTCACTTATAAAATTAAAAGGGGTTATTTTCCCTGATGATTTTGTTGATTGGTTTACAAAAATCTTAAAATCTTCAGCCAGTAGAAGTTTAAATTTAAGTTCAATCATTTAAAAATATTGTATATTTAATTTTTGAATTTGTAGTTTATTTTATATATGCCTAGATATGA